TGAACCCTGATATATATTTTTTCTTCTTTGGAAGTTTTCTGACCCACCTCATCAGTTCTTTGTGAGGTCTGAGTGTTGGGGTAAGCTCAGTTTTACTCAACCCAGCAATCCTGATACTCACTCTAGGGTGATAATTGTTCTAGTGCAGAGCTTTTCACTTCAGAACTATTGATGCTTTGAGCCACATAATTCTTTGTTGTGGGGAGGGGCGATCCTGTAGGAAGTTTACCAGCATCCCTTGGCCTCTACTCATTAGATGCCAGGAGTGCCCTCCAACCCAAAGTTGTGAAAACCAAAAATGTCTCAGACATTGTCAAATGTCTCCTGGGGACAAAACTGTCCCCAGTTAGGGACCACTCTTCTAGACAAAAATGGACACAGTGAAGAAAGAGCAGAGAGATGCCTCGGTCTTTCTGGCAGGGTTAGTATAGGCTTCTCAGGGAACAGCATTTGAGCTAAGCCTTGCAGGATAAGGGTTACCTAGTGGTCATAGAAGAGTTTCCAAGGTACAAACAGGGAGGTGTGCAGGGCCCTTTGTGATTTCTTGACCCAAACCAGATTCATTCCTACCACCCCTGTACATGCCTGCAAACATTCTAGGATCACCTGTGGATGCCTCGCTCTTCCCATCTCAATGCTTTTACTCATTCCATGTGAGTGGATTCCATGTCCATATGGTCCAAATTCTACAATTGCTGGTTACATTCACTATGCTGTGAACTGCTTTTGAAAAAGGATTGGATTTCCAAAGCAAATTCCTCTTCATCATTGTTATTACTTTCTCTTAAGCATTATGTCTATACTTTGGATAGATTGAGGGACCAGATTATGCTGTGAGCTGCACTTATGAATACATTGGATCTGGGATTGTGGAGGATTTCAGGCATCACTTCAGATTATCATATGGTGGATTGTGTCAGTTGTTGTACAATCATTCATGAGAAGAGACCTCAGTTCTACCTCACCTGGGATGTGACTCATCTCGTGACATACTGATTTAGGGGTGGAGTAGGAGGGAATCTGCAGGGAGTGGGGGAGGAAGGATTGACAGCATCCTTCCCCAGGTTGCTGAATTCCAGGGTTTCTCTGGTGGGTGGTGGGAGTCTTGCAGTAGGGGTAAATGAATCACATGGAAACACCAGTGAGTTTGGCCATTTATTGATGCCACACAATGGCAGGCTATGGTTACAGCCTGGTTTTAAATACTGAGGTACCCACCAAGGTACCCCTTAAGGAGGCTGGGCCTGGCAAAGCAGCAGAGATGCAGAGAGGACAATGGATGAGGCCGTGTACCACATACAACCACTTTGGAGGACAGTGATATGTAGAATTGTGCTTCCCCCAACCAGGTTTTTTTTTAATGACATAACTTAAAAATAATACTAATAATAATATTTGAACTAGCAATACAACAGAAAAAGAGTAGCATCAAATATGTTGGCTAAGTTTTAGCACCAGACAGTTCATGTCATGTGGTCTCTCTCTTGAAAGTGAATCGCTATGCACGGATTCATTGCCCCAGGGCTTGATCCTAAAGTCAGAAGAGCTAAGACCTGTAATCTCGGGGGTAGCAATGTGTAGCTTTCAGAGTTTGGAGGATTTTAGCCAACTGATTGGGAAATTATGATCTGAAACAATATAAATCCCTCAGCTTGTGTTCCAGAAATGTGATAAAGGTTATCAAAAATATTCACTAGGGCTTCCCTGGTGGCGCAGTGGTTGAGAGTCCGCCTGCCGATGCAGGGGACACGGGTTCGTGCCCCGGTCCGGGAAGATCCCACATGCCGTGGAGCGGATAGGCCCGTGGGCCATGGCAGCTGAGCCTGTGCGTCCGCTCCGCAACGGGAGAGGCCACAACAGTGAGAGGCCCGCGTACCGCAAAAAAAAAAAAAAAAAAAAAAAAAAAAATATTCACTAAATATCTGAAAGCATCACACTGGGATGACTCCACCAAGTAGAGATGGGTCAGGAAATTGGATGGAGGTGCATTCTTGATTAAGAAAACCAAATATTAAAACAAGTCATTCCTACAAAGGGGCCATTGCTTGTATCACAAAATGATTTCCTGTTTTACAAAAATATTCAGTATTTAGTCTCTTAAAATATTGTTTTCTTGTGGTGTGTTGAATTATGCTTCGATGTTTAAGAATTAAATTAACCCACACCTTTTCAGAGAAGAGCTAACTCTACCACTGGGAGAGACAACGTAAACCAAATTGGGTCTGAGAACCTTCATGTATTTAAGCACCAGGCAGGCCCTGTGGCGGCCTCTCTGATTCACGGTAGATGTGTATCCAGTGTCTCTTGCTGTACATCTCAGTTGCTTGTTCAAGGTGGGAAGAAAGGAGGCCATGGGAGAAATAAACCAACAGTGCTACTTCATGTTGGCCCCCATGAGCACCAAAAGGATGGTCAGACACCATTCAGGTTCTTGCCTTAGAGTCTCCCTGTTAATCTGAGGTCCCTCTCTTATTGCAAGCACGGGGACCTGTCAAAACCCTGATGACCCAAAGCTGAGTGACTGTCAAGGCAACAACCATGTCAAATGACTCTAGTAGCAAGTGCTGTCTTGATTCTGGGGTCCTGAGGGACAGCTGCTACCCAATTGTCTTACAACACAGCCCCACACAGGAAGTGAATGTCCATGATGCAGGGTTAGGGGCCAATATTCTGCCTTTGAGAAACTAGAGAAAGGCCTAGAATGGAGCACCTGGACAGACCCTTCCTACATTTCTACCATCTTTGCCACATGGGTCATAAATAACATTTTGCATACTGGGAAATCTGGCCTAGTTTAGTTTGCTGAGGTCAGTAGGAATCGGAGTTTGTTCCTGAGTTTTGTAAGACTGGTCATATCCAGGTCTCTGATGACATGCATGATCCTAGGGTAGCAGAGTACCAGGTTAAGTTAAATCCATCCAACTTACTAAATTAATCTCCCTGAAAGCCTACACTATACTTCAGGGACAGTTTTTGAGAACTGCCTCATTAGAAAAAATCAGGTTCTTTTCTACTCACATCACTGACAATGTAAGCATCTTCTTGCTAAAACTTATTTCACCAGAGACTGTCACTGGCCAGCAATGTTTATATTTAAAGACAGAATACAAGAACATAATTATATAGAAATAAATTCCCTGGTTTTGGTAAACATTTCTACTCACCTCCTGTTTCTGCTCTATCTCAAATTTCATCCCAACCCCAGTGTTTTATTTCCCACAGGCATTTATCAGAATAATACACAGTAATGGCTTGAAAAAAAAGCACATAATATAAAAAATTTAAGCTTCTGGTATACAAGCAATAGAACTGGCGTTGGCCAGCAACACCATTACAAATTTAACAGAAGATGCATGTGGACTTGCCCACTTGTACATCTATCTATATGTTTATATTTGTTCTTCCACCAACTAGATATTAGCACCATTTTTCAATAGCTCCATTCTGCTGAATGGATAGATAATTCAAGGGAGAGATGGGATACTGTGCTCCATGGTGAATGTTAACGGTACCTGTGCGTGAGACTGAAGACACGCTGCCCATTATGTGAAGCCCACTCTCCTGCCTTCCCCTCTGTCAAGAGCTGATTCTGAGGGCTTCTTCCCCTGGAGGCTCCACACCCCCCATTTTCCACATTCAGTTCATATAAATACCTCCCCTTACAAACCAGGAAATTCACCTTGAATCTGAGACCACAGCCTACTTTGACTCCTGATGGGTGATGGGAACATCCAGAATAAGCATTCCAACTTTCATTTCACTTTTTTGGACTACCTGACTCACCTGTTCCCCCCCCCTCCGCCACCCCAGAAAACAGATCCTCAAAAGTAACTATTGGGTGCGCTAGAGAATAGATCGGATTTACCTCACTTTTGAAAAGTTTTTTTTCTCGATACTAGAAGTTTATACTAAGTTTCTCTATACTTAATACAATTTACCTGGTTCTTGGAAATATTTTAATCTAGAGCTGCATTTTCCAACCTGAGGGTGGGTGGGGGCAGGTTGCAGCTGTGGACCTGGCCACAGCAGTTGTGGTGTGTAAACCCCTAGTGGTGAAAAGACGTTCACCCTGAACTGAAATCTCAGGCAGGGAATATGCTAGAGAAGGGAAAGCCGCACAGGAAGACTCATTTGCTCTTCTGCAAAGGAATGGGTATTTGCCAGGGAAGTGGGAAGAATGAAAAGCCCATGTTCTTCTCTTCCTTATACTAGCAAGAAATTGATTTCTGCTGATTTGCTTTTTAAGAGTTTTCATAGAAATTATCCTTAAGTCAGAAATGTCTTCTGTATAACTAACCTAAATCCCTTAGGTTCACTAAAGCCCTACAGTTCCTGCCCATGGCCTCTTTTTCTAGTGTCTCCAGGAAGGAATGGGAGCCCAAACAGCCCAGATGAAGAGTCCATAGGGATTAGGGACAGACTGAGGATGAAGCCAGCACTTTCTCTTCCTGCCCCAGTTGAACAGGGGGTGAAGAAAGCAGTCCCCTGCCTGGATGAATTACAAGAATGTTCCTGAAAGCTCTCCCATGACATTTTAAACAGCAGCTGCCCCAAGTAGGGAGACAGAAAAAAGGGTGATTTCACCAAGGTAAATTAACAAGATTATTTGTTCCCTGGATAAGTGTGGCTCTGTTTCCTGATACTCTTGAGGTAGTCTGGGAAAAAATCTGGTCTCTCTGTTTTTATCTTTAAGGGAGGAACAAAAGACATCATTTCACAGACTTGCCCACCTTGGCCCCTTTCCCACGAGCTGATCTCACGAAAGGCCCGATTCTCCTGGATACCTCACCTGCCTATCAGGGAACGGTGAGTATTGCAGTCCCATGTCTCCTATGAGGGACGTTTTGTGGCTAAAGAACAGTGGGCTTTGTTTAGTTATGAGCCAAAGTTGAACCTGAAATACACAGAGTAAAACCGCAATGAAGTGGTCCCTGGGCCTAGAACATGTCACGGTCAGCAGGCTGCTGCAGTCTGTAGTGGAGGGTGGCTTTCTTCTGGACTTAGGGTGCTCTGGGGTTTTTGAGTGGCTGTCGCTTTCTTGGCCTTTGGGTGTGGGCGATGTGTGTCTGGGAACATGAGAGGCAGCACTGAGCCCTCACGGTGGGCACAGAACATTTCTTCATGGTTTTTAGTGTCTGGCAGAAACTGGCTGATAACTTGTCCTTGGTGCAAAGTAAATCTGTGGGAGGAGAAAAAAAATGGGAAAAAAACAAAGATTATCCTTTTGTAAGTGAATAAGTGCGACTTCTATTAATGGAAGACTTTATGTGTCTACTGAGAAAGGCTCCATAACAATTCATAATGGTTGACATCCACTGACATTCACTCCTGTGTAGCAATATTATACATTCCCACCCTTGCCACGGCCACCCGGTGGTGAATACTTCCCCACTCCTGGACTTTGGGTTCAGCCCTCTGACTTGCTTTGGACAATGGGATGTTAGTGGACATGATCCCTGCAGTGCCTTGGAATGTGAGGGAGGATGAGGCTGCCCTGATGAGCTTCTGCCATCACCGTTAGAAGACTCTGGCTCATGCAGCCACTGGACCAAGAAGGATGAGACACATGGAGCAGACCTAGACCCAACCTACAGCTTGCAGCCGAGGCCAACCACAGGCAAGCTAGATCAGCTGAACTTGAGCTGAGCAAAAAATTCACGCTTGTAGTTTTAAAGCACTGAGTTTAGAAGTGGCTTGTTATGCAGGATTGTTATGCAATAGTTGAATGCAATATTTTACTTGCATCGCTTCATTTACTTGCATCACATAGTTACAGCAGTAACTATCAGGTAAATACAACTGTTCTTTCCATTTTACAAAAGGAGACGTAAAGCCTACAGAAGTTTAAGAACTTGCACAATGTTATCCAGCTGATAAATGGCACAGTCAGATCTGAACATGGGCAGTTTTGACTCTAGCTCATGCTTTTTTTATCAATCATATCATCCAGAGCACCAAGCAGTCACCCCGTCAGCCAACTAACCAATGCTTCCTGAGCAAAGGATATAGATATATAAAATGTGGTCACTGCCCTCCAGAAATGTACCATGTAGATGAAGGCATAAGACATGCACAAATAATTCCCAGGGTAAGGATACAATCAGTTACTTGGGTGCTAATCCTTGTTCTACCCTAACTCTGGGCAAGTAAGTTACTGAATTATTTTGGCCCTCCTTTCCTCATATATGAAACAGGGAATTGGACTAGATTTCTCAGGGACCACCCTTGCATATTCTATGGGTGGTACTCAGACTGCACTGGCCCATGTACTCCTGGTCTGAAAGGAATTCAGTAAGGCCCCAATAACACATTTTTCTTTTATAAAGTGAAATTGTTTCAAACTTTGCTTCAGTGCCTCTCAGAGCTCTGGTTGATCTTCTTTCTCCATTACAGAAAAGATTTGAACAGTCCTAAAGAAAAGCTTTTCCCCAAACAGGCTGCTATCCTTTGCAAATGGAACTGTCAGTAAAAGTAGAGATTGTGGTAGTATTCTCTTTACCCAAATCTGTGACAGTATTTTTGCCTCTCTATGCATTTTTCACCTTCAGGTCATGAAGGCAAAAAAATGCTTTTTCTCTTCTCAGAACTCATCATTTCCTTGACTGTGCCTTGTTTTTTCATGAATAAATGTCTTCTGTTAGCTGTCAGAATGCCATTTGGTTTGCAAGTGTTAAGTGCACTTGGGAGTAGGTAACATATAACGCTCCTAGAACCCAAAACCTCTTCATTGCTGATTATTTTCTTCTTCAGGCCTCTTCCTAAACATTTCATAAAAATCAGTGCCCTCTAATCCCCCAGGAAACTTCTGTACATGACCTGACATTTCAGAAAGAGTACATATTTCTCCCAAGTATTCCTACTGTGGAATAGAAATCTGAGCTCTTCATCTCCCACGTGCCCACCAGAGCAGCAGGTGTTCTCCATGGGGCTTGGGCTGTGCATCGTGTAGGCTGCTGTTCAGAACAAGACAGGGCTTCCTCCCTAGGCCTCTGGCATTGAGGCAGGGCCCAGCATGGAAGCCTAGGCATCATAGGGCTGCTCTGATTTCTTAGCCAGCCTCTCCTAAATTCCTTATGGATGGTGGACGGGGAAGGTGCATCTTGGGTAGCTCTTTGCCCCACATTCTCCCTGCCATGAGTATGTGAGTGCTATGGGGCTACTATAAGAAAAGAAGACAGAGGAAGTATGAAAGCTTAGCTTCCATTCCTTCTCTCCACAAAGCTTCTTTTGGCCACGTTGGACCACATGGATCCCTTCTGTCCCAATCTCCAAACTTGTATTATTATTGTTAACATTTGCTCAAACATGGCACTATGTTCTATCTTGAACTGTTCTGTAAATGGCGTTGAGCCTTTTCTGCTAAAGGCCGAAGTGTGTCCTCTCTCTAGGGTGTCTACCATTCTAAAAAGGCCTCTTAGAGGACCCCAAAGTCTTTAACTTCGTTCTGGGTTGAATTGGATCCTCCAAAGTTTAAGTATTCCCCCAAAGTTGAAGTCATAACCATTGGTACCTGTGAATGTGACGTTATTTGGAAATATTTCCTTGCAGATGTAATTATGATGTAAATTAAGATGACTTAATTAACATGACTGTGTCCTTATAGAGAGAGAAGAGATAGACACACGCAGTAAAGAGAAAGCCATGTGACAACACAGACACACAGAGGAAGATGGCCATGTGACGATGGGGGCCGAGATTGGAGTTATGCAGCTACAAGCCAAGGAAAGCCGGTGACTACCAGAAGCTAAGAGACAGAGAGCATGGCCCTACCAAGAACCGTGGTTTTTGGACTTCTTGCCTCCAGAACTGTGAGCCTAAATTTCTGTTGTTTTAACAACACAGATACAATTTCTTAAGCACTTACCACACACTAGGCAATGTGCTTGGCATATACTATCTCATTTGATCTTCATATAAATTTACTTATACCTATTGTTCTGCCTTTAATACTGAAGTTCCACAGAGGCTTAATAACTGGCCCAGTGTCTCATAGCTGGAACACAGATGGTGGTGCTGGAATCTGAATGCTGCCTCAGTGCCTCTAAAGCACTGCCACCAAGAAAATGAATCTTTTGTGCTGGTTATGGGGAAGGAGGGGCCCACATGGACAGGTCTTCCCTGACCAGAGCAGCTTCATTTGTTCTTCATTTGTTCAACCAAGGGCCCCCACTTGTCAGGTCAACATCTACGTGACTGAAAGAGGCTCAACCAAGCCTGGTGTCCTTGCCTGATCTTGGGAACCACTGGATCACGAGCCCAGCTTTTCAACGGTCCTCAGAGCCCTGGGAACATGTGAGTCCTGGAATCCTCCTGTTTAAAAGTGAGAAACTGGAAGGAAGAGTGGAGGATACCGGTGACCTATATTGCGAGCCTGTGTTCCACACCTATGTTTAGCAGCTCATTTAGACAATGACTGGGAGCCCAACATCACGGCAAGCAGGGCTTAATTGCACCAGTTCTCGTTATTATTGTGAAACAATGAAGGCTGCTGTGTTCATCAGCCAACTGGATCCCAGCTGAAGCACACAATGCTTATAATTGGGGGCAACTTAGAGAGGACATCCCAATTTGCCTATGCCTCCTGTTTAATAGAAATCATACTTGGAAATGTAAAGGGACAGTCATAAGCTTGTTCCTCTGCTGTCTTGAAGGAATAATATTTTGCCCACAAAAGTTGGAAAATAATTTCAATGTTGTTGGCAAATACAGTGTCTGTAAGACTGGGTTTCATGAGGCCAGGGAATGTGTCAGACTCATTTCTGTGTCCTCAGTTTTTAGTACTTGCCTGAGACATATCTTGTGATCAGTAATATTTGCTGAATAAATGAAAGTTCTGTTCAACTGGAAGAATATCTATCTTTCAGTAGGAAGATGCTAAGCTCACCTCTGCCCACAGGCACACCAAAATTACAACTATTTACAGAGCAACTATTGATGCGAAAGATTGGAAGACTGGAAGAAAAGCTCTTCTACGACTAAAAATATAAAGAAGGAACCACAACACGACAGGTAGGAGGGATGGAGATGTGGTATAGTCAGGACCCATACCCCTGGGTGGGTGAACCACAAATGGGAGAATAATTACAGAGGTTCTCCACGAGCGAGGGCCTTGAGCTCCACATCATGCTCCCAAGCCCAGTGGTCCTGCACTGAGAATATGAGCCCCCAGAACATTTAGCGTAAAGGTCAGTAGGGCTTAATCAGGAGATCCAGGGGCTATGGGGAATAGAGACTCCACTCCTAAAGGGCACACACAAAATCTTACAGGACCCAGCGCAGAAGCAGTAATTTGAAAGGAGCCTGGGTCAGACCCACCTGCTGATCCTGGAGAGGCTCCTGCAGAGACAAGAGGCAACTAGAGCTCACCCTGGGGAACAGACACTGGTGACAGCTGTTTTGGGAAGCTCGTTCTACCACGAGGACACTGGTGCTGGCAAGCACCATTTTGGAATCCTCCCTCCAACACTAGGACCAGGCTCCACCCACCAGTCTGTCAGCACCAGTACTGGGATGCCTCAAGCCGAGCAACTAGCTGGGTGGAGACACAGTCCCACCCACCAGCAGCCCTGCTGCCTTAAAACCCCTTGAGCTGCTTTGGGACCTGGCCCTGTCCACCAGAGGGCCTAGGGCCCAGCCCTGTGTGTGCTGAGACTAGCCTCAGGTCTCCCGGGCCCTGGAGCCAGAGACTCTGGCTCCATCCACCAGTGGGCAGACACCAGCTCCAGGACCCTCAGGGCCCTGCAGCCAGAAGTCTGAAGACCAAGTTTCACCCACCAGTGGGTAGACACAAGCCCCAGGACTACTGCAGCTTGCCATGTCAGTACCCCCTGGGCCTGACCATCAGCAGGCTAACATCTGCTCTGAGACACCTTGAGTCCCTCAGCCAGTAGTCCCAGGATCTGGCCCCACCTACCAGTGGGGTGACACCAGCTCCGAGACACCTTGTATCTCTCACCAGCAGGCCAGCACCAGCTTTGGGACACCCTGAAACTCACAGCCAGCCATGTCAGGAACCGGCTCTGCAGTCACCCACTCCAGAACCCAGCTCTGCCTACAAGCCAGCCAGGACTACCCAGGGGAATCCCGGGACTCTGCAGCCAGCTATCTCATGCCCTGCCCTGCCCCACCAACTAGCAGTCTCCACACAAGGCAGAGCCTCACGCCAACCTAATAGGAAGC